TAGTGTGCAGAGGACTTTATAAAGTACTTATTCCTTTTTATTACTAAAACAGCTGTCTGTATTTGTTTCTTTATTGGATTTTTATTTTATATTCGGGCCCACTTGCCATTGGGCAAGCTGACAACATGGCTAGTCCGCCATAGTATTCCAGTAAGCGTTGTTTGTAAATTCAAACTTATGAACAGTATAACATGGCGCCAATGGCTTGGGAGTAAAATCTCCGAGTGATACCAAATCAGCCGGGTTTCGATCCCGGCTTGAGGCAATCGGATGTCTAGTCACACTGAAGAGCTGTGAAACAGCGAAACAGTCCGTCCGTGGATGACAATATGGATGCATGTTTCATTAAATAATATAGACAAGTTTTGTCTATTTATTTTATGCAAATTCTTTTTATATCGTCTGATAAGCTTAATAACATTATCATTGAAAAACTCGCTTTCACGACGCTTGGCTCTACATTTCAATAATGACTCTAACATTTTTAGGCATTTAAAGCAACACGCCTGGCCGCAGACACAATTCAGAAAATCCTTGTGGAAAACATAACTATACTTAAACATGAAAACAATAAACAAAACTAAAAATTCTTGAAGCTATATACATAAAACAGTTGAAACCTAACCTGAACAAAATAAACTATGAAAACTCCACAAATATATTCAAATGCCTATAATTGATAACAGAAGCCATTGGTTTATAACAACGGCTTCCTATATTGAACATTTCTCGTTTTCACTCTCGCGTGATCATGTGTGATGTCATGAGTCGCGGTGCGATTTTCGCTTCCGTCTCGTCTGCAGGAATTTGTCGTTGCTTGGAAATCTTCCATGCAAACAAAAACAGACTATCTTTATTGCCATGTCCGTGTATTGTTTAATATGTTGTAATGTTATTATCTTTGATGATGGCTTATGTAAGCCGAAAGCTTAGATAGGATTAAAAAACATGTATCAATATGGTGATTTTCTTTCGTCTTTCAATGACAATGTTATTAAGCTTATCAGACGATATGAAAGGAATTTGCATAAAATAAATAAACAAAACTTGTCTATATTATTTAATGAAACAAGCTTCAATAAAAAATGCTGCTTATATATATATATATATATATATATATATATATATATATATATATACTCTATCTTAAATAGATGGTGTAAATTAATGGTGTAATCGACATACTTGTAACTTATCGTATCGATGTAAGGACTTGAAAAATTTTCTTTTTGTTTCAGTGTTAAAATTAGGTACCTCTATAAAAAAAAAAAAGGCAATACCTTAGGTTTAAAATGAATTTTTAAAAATGAAAAATCTTTCTTGAAGTTTTTATTTTAGTTTTAGTTTTAAACTAATAGATTACATTTAATATTTCCAATAAGCAAAATACTTTTTCTGTATTTCAAAATTAATTTGACTGGAAGGGGTTTTGTTTTGAACATTGTTTCACAATGTAATTCTCTTTATTAAAAAAAAAATTTCAGAAATAAAATATACTTTTGTGAAACTTTATTTGAGGGATATTATCTGATTTGAGGTTTAATTAATCTGATTTGAAAAAAAAAATGTTACTTTAATTATAAAATATCGAAGAAATACATTTTTAATATGGTGGCAGGTGTTTATTTAAGGTGTTGACAGCTTGATTGACAGATGGAAGTTTATCTTTCTTTCTTTTTTTTTTTTCTAAGGTGGATATGTCTGGAAAAATTGAGGAATATAACGTGAGCTCCTTTTTTATATAATTTTTAACTACCCAAACACTGAATGCTTTTGAGATTTCCAAAGCTACAACCAGGGCTTCACCATTTTTATCTAGAACTTGACAGTCTCTTTCCGTAATTATCACCAGTACATCAGCAGTTAATTGGAGAAACGAAAGCCGTATTACGTGTGTGAAAAAAATGCCCTACGATGAGAGGTGCTTAACCAAATCTGCATTGATTAGGACCTCTAGGAGTTTCTCCAAATGAAGAAGTAGAAAGAAAATAGGTCGATAGTTTGAAAGGTCGGACGAAAAGCTTTTCTAATTTTTTATTCGAGGCAAAATTTCGGTAACCGGAGGTACTATTTTACAAAAAAAAAAAAAAAATTACTGATTTAAATTTTCCAAGGAGTTCTGCGTATAACTAATATAAACATTAGGTAGTACAAAAATTAATTTCTCGAAATTTCATAAAATTAAATAAGTGGTGGTAACAGATGTAAAAAATGGTTTTTACCAAAATTTTCTAAAAAAAAGAAACATTTCTGAAATGATGTGATTCATTTGTGAATAAGTCCTGAAAGTTTCATCAAAATCCGGCAATTATTTGATTTTTGCAAGAATTTCCAAAGCAATGTATTTTTCACCAGAAAAAAAAAAAAAAAAAAAAAACAACAAAAAAAGCAACTTCTTCTATGCGTCATGTCCCTTCAGGGCGTCGACGATCATGGCTCTCCACAATTTCCTGTCCTTTGTAACCCTTAATAAAGTTTGTCTTTTTGTTCGTCCGGTTCACACTCTTTCTGGGTCCTTTGAACCAGACTAGACGTTTATTCCTTGTTTTCTGTTTAAGATTAGGTTTCCTTCTAAAGTATTTTTCTTCTCTTTCACTTTCAATATCCCATTGTGTCTTAGCGGCATTATCGCCTTTCTTGAGGTGAATTGATTAAATATATATATTTCCTAATCCCTGTTTTGTCAACCATGTAAATAATCTCGTTAGGTAGATTATGCATTGTTTTCCGCTATCCTTCTTGCCTTCAATGTTTTGTCAGTGTCAAATTTCCCAAGCCCTCTTTCCTCTTTTTGTACCCTAAAAATTTCATGTGTCTCTTTCTGATGGTACGTATAAGTGTATTTTTGATTTCCATTTTTGTCTAAAACTTCATCGTTGATAATGTGTTCAGTCCATGATATTCTCATTATCCTTCTGTAGAACCACATTTTTGTTGCATCAAGTCTCTTCTCTATCTGTGAGATGGTACAACATTCACTTCCATATAGGAGGACCGATATTACATAACAGTTTAGTATTCTTTTCTTTGTTTCTAATGTTATTTTCCTGTTTCTTAATACTTTGCTTAGCTTCTGGAAGGAATTTTTCGCTATCCAGAACGCTTTCGGATTTCGATGTCGCATTTATCATTTTAACTGATTAAGCTAATCGGCTGTTGAAATTCAAATTAATGATATCACCACGCTTATTCGCGTTATCTTTAGCACACGCTTGCCATCTTTTATCTGCCATATCAGTTCAAGACGTGAGCGATTATGGCTCTCCATAACTTCCTGTGCTCTGTAGCTCTAAACAATGTTTGACTTTTTGTCCCCACTCTGACATTCATTCACACAAACAAATTTGTTCTGTATGTTACTCGCTGTTTCACTCTGTCATTTCGAGAGGATATTTCAAAGATGTGAATAAACACCGAAATACTTGCTTTTCTGTGGATTACATATTGTCAGATATCGATTGATTAAATTTGTCTTTGAGAAGCATTTTTGAGGCTCTGCGTTAAAATTGTATTTAGGGATTACTATTAAACATTTCTTAATGATAATAATCAAAATCGTGTAAATGGATGACAGAACAGTGAGTGGGAAGGAACAAAAAAAAATGCTTAGATCTACAAAAGCTAGAAAGATGCGGAGAGCCATGCTCGCTTTACATCCCGAAAGGATGTAAAGCGATCATAGCTCTCCAAAAGCACATGAAAGAAGAATAAAAAAAAACACAATTGTAAGCGGGAAAATTCCAATTGGCACTACTTTAGCAGATTGATCCACTCATAAAAAAGAGAGACAACTGTTTTAAGAAATTTTTGTAGTTTAACATTCTTTGAGACAGACGTTCCTTACATCGCAACACTTGTCAGAATCGAAAAATATTGATTGTTATCGATTTAGGAGGAGGTTTCCTGTTTGTAATATCAATACAGTGCCAAATAAATCCCTGACTTTTACAGGGTTTAGACTTAGTTTTTTTGCGCATGAAAACATAATTTTTTTTTTAGGAAGGTGTTGCAAAAAGATTTCTAAATAACGAACGAACAAAAATTACATAGATTAAAAATTATGTATCCGTTTATTCTTAATATAAACCTCAAATATTTGTGCATGTGCTTCTGAAAAATCCCATACAAAATGTTTTAATAAAAATGTTCAAGAAAAGGTTAAAAATGCAAAAAATAAAATAAAAAAATATATGCAGATATCAATGAATTGATGTAAAACATTTTCAAACTTGACACTTAACAACACTAACAGCAAGGTAAAAACTTAGTCTAAGGCCAGTAACCCTTCATTGTCAGGGATCGATTTGAGACTGTATTGATATTTATAAATAGGACCCTCCGACTAAATCGATAGCAAATCAATATTTTTCGATTCTGGCAAGTGTTTTAATCATGTGGTCTAAAGAATGATAATCTAAAAAAAAATTATTTTCTAGAAAATAATTTTTTATGAGTGGACCAGTCTATCAAATTCATGTGATTGAGATTGACCAAGTTATTTTTTTCTAATTAGTTCTCTGCAAACAAAGAAAGTGAATCTACAATTTCAGCTACAATAAATAAATAAATAAGTTGCCGGAGTTGCTTTCTGTTTAAACAGTTTCTTTATTGCGGCCTGCAAAAATAGTTGCAGATCATTATTTCCTACCAGTTCCAGTGGCAGGCCCGTCGCCAGAGTGTTTTCAGGAGGCGGCCTTTAAGTGAGATGGTGGCGAAAGACAGTGGATGAAGAAACAGTTCACATCATATTCACAGGCGGGCGTGGGTGTTACCGTTAGTGTTTTGGTGACGCACCTGACGTTCGAATCCAAGTCAACCCCAGAATTTCGAATACTGATTTTCAAAGCAGAAAAGCTCCCGTTTACTTAAACGAACACAACACAATCTTCTTAACTCGAAATTTTCCACGTACTTGGTACCAGATAAAGCCTAGCTCAGCAAATTTGCTTCTTTGTTGGATTCATTTTTTTTTTTTTCGCTTTTCTCTTCCACACATTTAAATGCCTCACACTTTATCTATTTCCCGCCACTCGCACTTTTTTTTTTTTTTCTTCCTCCAGTCTCTCTTTTCTTCTCTATTTTATAGTATTTCCTGTTTTACACGTTCTTTTTCGGTTCGCCTGTTTCTTTTTAACCCCACCTCTCTATTCATTTTCTAATTTATACTTCCCTCTTCTACAATAACTTTCTCTACCTACACTTTCACCTTTTCTGAAAATTCTGACGCCTCCCTTTTCTTTGTTTTTGGTATATCCTCTCTTTCTCACGCTAACGCTTCCTCTGTTTGTTTGTTATTTTTTTTTCTTCTTCTTCCTTTTTCTCTGTCTTTTATTCCGTTTTTGTTACTCTTTCTCTAAAAGACTCTCTAAGAGTTTACCGCCACAGTCTGGTGACCAATTCAATATGGAGGTCATTCTGTGGCCAGTGACGAATTCGTTCGCATCAACAATCGAATTTCTTTGCTTTAAAAAAAAACGGAATTTTTAATATTCGGGTGAATAAAAAGTACGTTTCACGAGTTTTAACATTGGAATTGCGTAAACGACAGAAATCAGTTTATTTTAAAACGAAGGTAGGAATTAATAAAGCATACTAATTGACTTGCACCAACTAATTATTACTTATTTTACGTTTGTTTTTCATGCCGTTGTCGAAAGAGATGGGATATATATCGATCCCTCATTTTATGACCGCTGTTATTAAATCTCATAATACTGCATACGAACTGAGGGGTCGATTTTTTTTATTTTTTTGACGGCGGGAAATAAACAGTGTTTTAAAAAAACTGTTTCTGAAAATTAAAATAATTAAAATCCTTGTTTGTTTATGTTGAGTGAAATAATTGTTGGCGATCTGTATCAAATTTCTCTGCTGAACGAATTTTCTTTTTTTTTTTTAATAAAAAGCCTTTTGGTAAATTGATCACTCACTTTGTGAACACTAAAAATCACTAATTAATTGTTTTGTTTCTATTTTTTTTTTTTTTTTAACGTTTTGTACTTAATGACAAATTACGGAGTAATTTAGAGAAGTTTATTTTATTTTTAAAATCTCCGAAAAAGTGACTGCTACATTTTTTTTTTTTTTGTCTGTTCAACTCGTCTGTTTTTTTGTTTTTTTTAATCACCTGCTTTAATTAGGATTTATCTGAAATCTATTATTTAATTTTTTTTTAAATTATTTACAAAAAACAAGAAAATTGAGATGAAAAAAAAAAAGGAAGAATATGAAAAGTTAAAAGTAAGAAAAATACGATGCATCACAGGAAAAATTATAACATTTTTCGGTTTATTAGGGGTTTTTTGTAACTTTTTTTTAAATGAATCATAATTGATTTTATTTTTTTTTTTGTTTTGTCGTCTACAAATTTTCTTCTGAAGTAGCAAAAATTTTCAAAATTTGATGCTGAAATACATTTTTAATTTTTTTTTTTATAAAAAAAATAAGTTTTAAGATAGGATTTATTTTATTTATTAAAAATTTTTTTTAAAAAGTAGCTGTTGCGTAATTTAATTTTTACTTTTTAAAATGTTTAAAAAAAAATTAATTTATAAAGTTTGTTTTACAAGACTAAAACAAGGAAATAAAAATGTATTTTAAAAAAATAATTAAAAATAATAATTATATAATTTTTTTTTTTAATTTTAAAAATTAAATGAGATTTCATTTAAAAAATGTAATTAGTGTATTTTCCATGAAATGTTTCACATTCCTAACGTTTTTTTTTTGTTTGTTTTTTTAAATAAAAACAAACTTCTACAACACTTTGAAAAGATAAGAAATGGTTAAACAATAAACATTCTTATAAGTCAATTTATTATTTGAACTTATTCATACACAGCTTGGTACTAATGCACTTACCAAGTACCAACTGAGAGAGCACCTCTGCGTCGGGTTATTTAACGAAATAGTTTGATTGATTGTAATTGAGAATAAAGTTCGATCTTCACTGAATGCTCTATACTCGTGATCTTGTGCCAAACTAAAAAGTAAGATAGGCCGAGTTCCAGTTGAGAATTGAATGGAAATCTGATATTGCCATTTGACTTTATTTATTTATTTTTTTTAATAACGATCTTTTTTAGCAATTTTCACATCTAAGCGCAGCGTAAAAAAAAAGCAATTAAAGAGTTTACCTCGGACATAAAGTTTGCCATAATCAGTTCTGTTGACAAGCAATATTTCCAAAACAAAAGAAAAAAAAGAATCATTTCAAAATTAGAAAAGAAAAGACAGTTGTATACGTAGGAAAATCGCAATATGAAGCGTGGTAAATAAAATGTATATTTTTTTTTATTTATATTCTTCTTACACTTTGAGAGTAATTTAGCTATAAAAAAAAATTGGAATTTTCATTTTCTTTTTCTGTACTGAACCTAAACTGAAGACACCAAGCAAAAGTACATATCGTGTTACAATACAACTCTCCAGTTACAGTTACACAGTAGAAGACTGATCACACCATGTATGGGGTATTTTGGAAAATTCTAGTCGAGACAACTTTTAAGTTGACTTTCTCATCTTGACTCACGAAATCCATTGTTTGTTTTTCTTTCTTTCATACTTTTAAGTTTTTTTTTTTTTTCAAAAGTTCCTGCTTGGTGTTTCGAACATTTATCCTAGAAAAATTAGCAAAAGCAATTACTTTCTCTCGGTCATAACTAAATGAGCCACTTTTCTGTAGTAATTGGATTTTTTTTTTCTCGCATACACATAGGTCGTGTTGTATTTAACTACAGAGAAACCGACTGTAACCAAAATAAGAAAAAATATATATATATTGCATTCGTCGGAGTATGATGAAAAAACATTATTTTGAATTATTAAATTAAAAAAAGATGCTGATTGTTACTCGTGATCCGCCCGTCTCCTAATCTTTCAGAGAGTATTGGTAATTGATTTATCAGTTTTCAACCAAGTAGGTCTACGCATTCAAATAATTTAAAGACTTTATGAACATAGAAGAAGGAAAATCAAGCAGTTGTCGTTTACAATATTCCCACCCCATTAAAAAAAAAAAAAGTTTCGATTAGAGACAAGCAATGTCTTTTTGTTTTACATTTTTTTACCCAATGAGCCGCGGTCCTCATTCTTCCAACCTGATTTCGTGACTGAATAGTACCTATTAATATAGAAAGAGCACAGACATACATTATTTAATAAATACAATACATGTAAGAATAACTGAAATGTAGTAGGAATATGTTCTCGTCTGCTGCTCTTTGGTACATAACAAATTCTTAGTTTTGTGTCGCGACTTGTAGACCCAGACAGATCGACCAGGAAGGGAGGTGCCGTCTGTCTTTGGTTTCTTCCTACCCTACATTTGATGATTTATTTATTTATTTATTTTGTACACGCTTACTTTTTATATATTTTTTATTTAAATTAAAAAAAGATAACATTTTCATAAGAAGAATAAAGATCTTCGAAATACGCAAAAAAAAAAAAAAAAAAACTAACTCAAATTTACGACCTTTGTTTTCTTTCTATCTTCTTCATCTTTCTCCTCTCTTAAAATATCTGTTGGGATAAATGCGTGATTGGGAAACTTCAGACACTTTTCTTTTTTTCTTTTTTTGTCAGCAAGGTTACCCGGTGTTCCCACTTTTAAAATAGATTTTATATAATCAGTTCTCTTGAGTGTTAGCTTCTAATTTTATTTTGTCAGTCTTCACGGATACATCAACGAATATTTGAAGAGAAGAGAATTAATTGACGAATCTTATAGAGCGAGAGAGACCCGTTTTTATTTGCATGGATCAGTTATTTCTAAAAATAATACCGGGCGAAATTCTTTCAATCTTTTTTTGTCCTGGGGCGAAGCGTTTAATTTTATTTTAGTCGGTCTCTCATTGCTGTTTTTTTTTCTTTTTCTTTTTCTTTTTCTTTTTCTTAACTCATTTTTCATTCCTTTCTTTGTTTACCCTCCCTTTCTTTCTCTCTATTTTTTCATTTTATCATTATTTCTCACTTCTTTCTTCCTTTTGACTGATTTATCTCCCTCATTATGTTTTGCGTGTTTTGATCTCTTCCTTTTTCATCTTCTGTCTGCCTCTCTCTCTAATAAATAAATATATATATATATATATATATATATTATATATTTTGTTTCATTCCTGTCTTCACTGTCAGTTTTCCTTTGTATTTTAAATCTAACATTGTTCAGTTTAACACTTTTTTTCTATTACTGTTTTCGCTCCTCTTTTTTTTTCTTTCTCTTTTCTTCCTTTTCAAATTACTTTCTTTCTATATTTTCTTTCTCATCACTATCTTTTTCCATTCCTCCGCTGTTCTCTTTTTAGTTTTTTTCTTTTACACGTTTATTCTTTTTTTCTTTCTACCCTCTCTCTTTTTTCTTTTCTCTTGCTTTCTCGTCACTTTTCCTCTATTACTTCTCTCTTTTTCATCTTCTGTCTCTCTCTTTATTTTTTTTAATTTTATTTATCTATTTTATTCTTTTTTGCTTATTTATTTATTTATTTATTTATTGCATATTTTGTTTCGTTCCTGTCTCCATTGTTAATTTTTCGCTATATCTGATATTGTTCACTTACATTTTAATTTAATAATTTCTCTGAGTAGATTCTTTTTTTTTTCTTCTTTTTAACCCGCTCTTCAACTGTACTTACTCTTTCTTGTTTCTTTCCTTTCTCATCACTCTTTCTTTTCCCATACCTCTCTCTTTCTTTCTCTCCCCAGCTCTTTTTCTTTTCTTTTCTTGTTCACTTTTTTTCTACCCTCTCTCTTTTCTCTTGCTTGCTCTCTCTCCCCACTTTCCCTTCTGTTATTTTCCTCTTTTCCTTCTCCATTCACCTACTTTTTTCTTTCCTTTTCTTTTTCTGTATTTTTTCAGTCCTTCCCATTTTCTTTCCTTTTTTTTTTTTTTTTTTGATGCAATAGCCACAATGAGTCCATTGAAAAGTCAGGACTTTGCATGTTGATTTTTTCAAGGTATTTTTAAGTCCTTCTTTACTTGGAAAATTAGTGCAATATTCTGTAGGACTGGGTTTCCGATTCCTTAAAGTCTTCTTATTCTTTTTTTTCACTCTCAGTGTGTAACCCCTTGCGCCTTAGTGGCATTATAGCCTTGCTGTGAAATGATTAAAAAATATCTACAATCTTCCAAAAGCTTATTTTCTTTCATCTGGCATTGCGTCAGACTAAGCTTCCAAAATATCAGTGATGCAATGTTGTATTGTAAACATGATCAACAGATGCTTTGCAAATGCAAAAAGAAATTGGCTATTGGGTTGGTGCATAATTATCAGGCGTTTTTTAAACAATATTTATGATGAAAAAAAGAAACATAACAATTCAACATTTTTAAATGAGTATGATTATCGACACGTCTTTTTATAACCTGAAAATAAAATAATATAAGTAAACAAAACAATTTATATTAACAAAAATAACTCGCCTGTAAAAACGCCTGATAATTATGCACCAAACCAATAGATTTATACACAAGCTCTATCTGGAAGTACAAACTTTATTTTCTGATTTAAATGCCTGAGTTCAGCACAGAGAACAGCTTGCAAAGAACATCAGCAGATCTTGTATGCTTGCCTTCAGTGCAGCAGGCAGTCATGTACAGTTAAGATCATTGATCTCAATTACTTATTGTTGCTTACTTGAAGCAACAAATGTGGTTCTACAGAAGGATGCTGAGAATACCATGGAGTTAACATCTGAGCAACAACAATGTTTTAGAGGAAATGGAAACAGAAAGGACACCTATACTTAACATCAGAAAGAGATAGTTGAAACTTCTAGGGCACATATAACAAGGAAAGAGGGCTTGGAAGATTTGATACTCTGAAGACAAGAGAAACACAGGAATTAATGTATAACCTACCTAGCAAGCATGAATACATGAATGGTGGAACAAGATTTTGAAGGTAGAACAAATAGACAACATTTATTAAGAGCTACAAAGGACAGGAAATTGTGGAGAGCCATGATTGCCAGCATCCTGAGGGGACATGACACATCGAAAAAGAAGTATGAGCTTGTATAAATGGTTGGCAGAACAGGAATTAGGAGAGAGAGAGCAAAAAGAAAAAATTTACTAATAGCAACAGAGGGCAGGAAAATGTGGAGAGCCATGATCGTCAACATCCTGAAGGGACATGGCACATAGAAGAATATAAAGTAATAGAAATTATTATGGCATTTCATGTTGAAAAGCTGTGTAAATCTAACTATATTTTATCAGTTTAAAAAAAAAATTGGCAATCTTGGACCTTCATGTTTGCCAAAAATCTGAATGTCTAAAAGATGAGTTTTCCCCTTGACACCACTATTATTTTAACTACCTTCACTCCTCGGCAGAGTTTATTGTTTTAAAAAAGCAATGATTAGAATTGTAATAAAACTGAAACACATGATAAACAATAAACAACCTAATAAATACAGTGTAAAAATAAACAATCTAATAAATAGTGTTTATTATTTTTGTTAGAAATTTTCAAGAACAAAGAAAATGTATAAATTCACTTTCATATGTTTAGGTTTTATTACAATTCTGATCATCATTTTTTTTAAAAAAATAAACATTGCTGAGGAATGAAGATAGTTAAATAGTGGTGTCAAGGGAAAACCCATCCCTTTGACATTCAGTTTTTTTTTTGCAGGCATGAAGGTCCAAGATGGCCAAAAGTTTTTCAACATCACAAGTTAGATATTTATTTATATGGCTAAGTGGATGGAAATACAGGTAAGTTATATAGTACCAATCTTCCAAGTAAGGAAGAGCTAAACTATCAATCAAAAAGTTTAGTACAGCACAAGATCAAATGTAAAATTAGGAAGATGATTCTTTAAATATATAGCCTTGTCAGCTTTGAAAATCAGCATTTGTGATCTGAACTTAAACCAGGACTGTAACACTGACATCTGGTGCTGCTGTGAATTATACAGGATGGGATTGATGGGTAAATTATTGCCACTTGATATTTTTAATTTTGTACAAGTGCATTGTTTGTTTTTGATTTTGTCGATTGCAAACTATAGCAGGATTAGTTGGGCACTATCTGTGAGAAAAAGAGCACGATGATGCAATTGACACTGCTAGAAATTAGGAAACAGCATGCTAAACTGCTTAGCAATCATGCCGAAAGCTCTGATACGAACATTTCAAAGTGTTAGATTGTCAATAAAAGGACAGTGAAGATGATTCGGAAAGTGTTGGAAGAGTCTAATGGTGATTATGATTGTATGACAGCTTGGATAAGAAAAGAATTCCTGCATTTGTTGGTAAGGGCTTCAGACTCAACATGGAGGCTTACATCAAGTACCTTGTGGAGGTAGTGCTGACCTGGGTCAAGAGGGTGGCAGCTGGAAGACCCTATGTCTGTCAACAGGACACTGCATCATTCCACACAAGCAGGAGAATTCAATCATGGCTGTCAGACAATTTCTACGACCACATCACTCCCTTACATCTGGCCACCTAACTCCCCAGACTGCAACCCTCTTGATTATTATATGTGTGCAGCAGCTGAACAAGAGACCAACAAAACTCCTTGTAGCACCAAAGATGAACTGAAGGCAAGGATTATGGCAGCATTCACCAACTTAAAAGAAGGAGACTATTCAGAAGAGTTAGAGGAGATTTTGAAGGTGTCTGGAGGCCAATGACAATTTTATTGGATAAATTTACTCTTTAGTATTTCAAGATATTATTTTGTAATTTTGGTAAATATATCTGTTAAAACAAGATGTTGGTGTTATTTTCACTTCTGCATAATTTAAACAACAGTTTATCCATTGCACACACACACACACACACACATATATATATATATATATATATATATATATATATATATATATATATATATATAGGATTAATATAAATATAAAATTACTCATTGAGCTGATTGATGTTATATTCAGCATCTCGACTCCAGAGTTTCGTAGACAGACTCTTCAGCAATATCACTCCGTTCACTCATCAGATGATATCAGTAATTGACTGCTTAGGGTGATTTTGTTTTTCTTCTTTCATTGTGTGTGTGCATACCTTTGTGTATGTTTGAGCATGTACGCGCTTGCCCATGTGTATTTGTGTACATGTAGAATGTTGTTATTTCTCCTTTTCATCATTCCCAGCAAGATGAAGCTTTTTATCTTTTACTTGTAATTTTATATATATGTATATATATGTAGAGAGAGAGAGAGAAAATAACAGCGAGAACAAAGATTGTGCATCATGTGAAAAAGTCGTCTAGAGGATTCCTGGAAGAGACCGCTTTTAGAGCGAGCATTTTTCTGGAGGTCAATATCAAGAGATAAGTGTTCAGTGTAACAAATAAAATTCCAAACATTAATATGGACTATTAATTTTATTTGTTACTATATACATAAATATGTATATATTAAATGGAGCAAACTGGGAATATCTGTTAAGTTTTTGATGAGTTGCTACTGGTATTGAATGAGCTATTTGACATCGGGTGGAAACTTACCAAAAGAACCTCACCAAAAGAATGAACAGATATTCCTTGACCACACTGTCCTTTGGAAAAAAAATACTTATAATGTTTAAAGAGTTTTATAAGACAGTATAATGATCATAGCATCCAATATAATAATGAATTATTTAAATGAAGGAGTGTTACCTAGATATATTAAGTACCCCCATTGTTACACTAAAAGATTAGCATACCATGATGAAAAAATGCCCCAAACTTAATAAAAACAGTTTTATTGGCAAAATCTTTGTTATGATTAAGAGAGCAAAGGATTTCTTTATTATTACATAATATTTTTTTAATCCTCTTAAGAACATTTGAAATTTTGGTTAAAAATCTTTTTTTTTTTTTTTTTTTTTTTGCATTAGTGGGGCAAAGATTAGTATAGGAAATTTTAGCATCTTTTTGCAATGAAAAACACATTGATTTAGAAATTCCTGCAGAAATCAAATAAACTATTTACATTATTCTGACTATTGTCCTTAAATGAGAAACAGCAAGACATGGAAACAACAAAATGGCTATTTACATTAATCGGACTACTGTCTTCATCTTTGGGGTAGACTGTTCTAGTTCCACGTGCCATGTTTAATGGATGCCAGTTATCAATTATCTCCTGTTAATTTCCTTCTGCAAGTTCTCCACTGTCCTAACCAGGTATTGAACTCATACTCTTTGGGTCCTGTCACTGGATCTAACCAATGCCTTTATCCTTTGTGCCATGTGTCCTTGATGGCACGTGAAACTAGAACAGTCTACCCCAGTGAGCAAAATAAAGGGTTCAGTTCGACATTCCAACCACCTGAAGAAGACCGGAGCGTACAATGCCCAAAACATTGTAATGAATATGGCAACAAAGATGAGGACAATAATCCGAATAATGTAAATAGTGTACATAATACCTCCTCTCAGAAATATAGACAAATACTGAAAAATCAAATAATTGACAGATTTTAATGAAATTTTCAGAATTATTTACAAATGAATGAAATTATTTCAGAAATGTTTTTAGAAAATCTTGGTAAAAATATATATATTTTTTTTACATCTGTTACCCCCACACACACACACACTTATTTAATTTTATGAAATTTCAAGAAATTTTGACCTGCTTAATGTTTATATTAGTCAAAAGCAGAACTCTTTAGGGAATTTAAATCATCAATTTCTTTTTTGTAAAACAGGACCCCCAGTTACCGAAAATTTGTTCTGAATCATAAGATAAAAAAATGCAATAAAACTAAGACATTATTTAATTAAAAAAGCTTATAATTATTTTTATGAATAAGATATATTATGGACACTATTGAATTTTTATCAAAAATGTTTTCATTTAAAAAAATTTTAATCATGAAAATTTATAAAGTTTTAAATCTTTTAAAATTCTGTTCTATTTTGTTCTGGTTAGGTGATATTGTTGTTAAG